TCTGAGGTGACACCACAGCAATCTCTGAGGTGGCACTGCAGCCCTGTCTGAGGTGACACCACAGCAATCTCTGAGGTGGCACTGCAGCCCTGTCTGAGGCAACACAGCGGCCGTGTTCCCCTCAGGCCAGCTCCTCATCACCCTCACATGGAAGGATTCCTTCCCAATATCCCATCTAACCCTGCCCTCTGGCAGTGGGAAGCCGTTCCCCCTTGCCCTATTACCATCTGCCCATGTAAAAAATCGCTCTCCCTATTTTTTATAAGCCCCCTTCCAGCACTGGAAGGTTCCCCCTTGGAAGTGCACACTGCCTTCCCATGGGAAAAGCCGTCCATACTTCCTCATTCACATCCTGCCGTTCCCAGGTCTCTCCAGTGCTGCCTGGAGCGCTGCTGCTGCTGCATTCCAGAGGCTCCGGCACCAAAATTGCCCTGGATTGCACACAAAGAGCCCTCCGTGCTTGCCTGCGACATTTTCCCCGAGGACATGGTCTAAATGATGTGAAACATGGAGTGCTGTGACTCAAGCAGCCTTCCAAGGAGGTGTTTGTGTCTGGCAGGTAAACAGGTATCGCTGATTGACGCCACCGAGCTATTTATAGTGCTCTGGCATTACAGGTGGCAGAGCAGAGCAAGGCCAAGGGATCAGCAGAGGCCTTTCCGTGCTAAAAACCCAGGGCTAAGAGAAGATCGAGGTCTGCTAGGTTTTAGTTCACTTTTTTATTTGGACTGTAATGCAAACAGGCATAAGTATTCCATAAAATCAGAAGATTGGAACTATACAGAAAGAGGTGCATGCTTCAGAACAATGTGGATACCTTGCAAACAGAGGCAGAGTCAGTCCGAGAGAGGGGCTGGAGTACATTGGACGAATGGCAGAGATTTTAGCAGCATTGAGAGCTCAGAGGTAGGGGAAGACCACGTTTCTGACCACGCTTAAAGCACTGCTATGACCAAACACAAGGCAGCTCAGCCCGCTCCCACCGCCCCCACCCCCTCGCTCCTCAGGGGAAACCCACCTTGGCACCACACAAAAAGCTACAGAACAAGCTGCCCCCTCCCCTCCACACCTAACCTGTCGTATGGGATGCAAAGTGAGAGGAAAGACGACGTGCCAGTCTTAAATCATGGCATCATTTCATAAACCGAACGAAGGCACAGTGACATGAGGAGGTGCTGAGGGGAGGGAGGAGGGAGCGGGAGGACCAGAGAGCAGCCAGGGCTTGGAGTCTCATCCAGCCCAGCAGAATTTACCCATATCTGAGGAGTTTAGAAAACCTCTGCGACAGAAAGTTTGGGAGTTGCCTGCCCCGAAGCCGCCACCCTTCCCAGAGCAGTCCCCGTCCTCGTCGTGGCACCGCCGCTCTTCGGGAGAAGGCCACCAGGAGATCAAAGAATCCAAACCAACCTTTGAGTCTTAGGCCTTTCAAAGGTGCCTAAGGGAGCCGAGGGAATAAACCCCCTGCTCCTATTACAGAAATTAATTGGCACTAAATATCGAATTCCCTGGGCAGCTGGCAGAACTCATGTTTCTAACTACATGCAATCTAAAAAGCAATGAGTCCTGGCTGAAAGTCATCTCGCTGCTCACCCTCACTGCCTGGGGAATTGTGTGCACTCTGGAAAAGCTGCAGACCACTCACAAGCTCTTTACAGCACACAGAGCCCAGGGTTTTTAAAGGCATCTCAAGGCAGCAGAGCACGGGGATCCAACCTTGGGAATTGTGGGGATTTGCCTATTTTGCAGAACTCTAGCAAAGCAGGGATTTTGCATCGAATCTCACTGGCTTCAAAGCCATCGTTTCAACGCTGGAGGTTCTGAAACACCGTCTTCTATTTCTGTTTCTCGGCTGCTGTAAAGTGTATTTTGTTCAGACATGATTCCATGCCACGATCACACAGAGAGGAAAATAAAAAAGCAGGCTCAGAAGCAAGTAGCATTAATGTCTCAGAAGATTAAGGCCGTTTTGTTGCCCTTGGAAAATTTTGAAATCTCCCTTAGCAATTACTGTAGGAGCAAAACATTTGATTTAATCCGAAACAAGCTGATATACTGTCTGCTTGCTTTCTGCTTGCTTTCTGCTTGCTTCCCCCACCCAGAACCAACACGTGAAAACAAAGCAACAAGCTCTTTCAGATCAACTGTTTCGGTGTTCAGTCTTTCGGTTTTCGAAGTATTAGGGATGCCCCTGGAAGAAAAATATTTTGCCCAATGTTTTTCCCTCACGGGTTTCTGCACCAGCCCTGCAGAGACCTGTGCACAGGAGCTGAGCCACAGCCCAGCAGCGTGTTCCTGCTTTTCCACAGCCCTGCTAAACCAGGGATTCTCAGGGCAAGGCTCACAGGTCTGACTTTCTCACTTCGAGGTGCTTCCTCCCTGCTCCCTCCCCAAAATCTGGCCAGGTAGGACGTGAATAAGGCAGGAGAGCAGCAGTGAGACTCTCACTGCTAAACAAGCTGCCACTGCTCAGCTATGAACTCACAATCTGTTTGGGTTTGGTTTTTTTTTTGTTTTCCCTGTGATTCAGTGGCTCAAAATTCCATCACAGCCAAACATCTGTAGGGGTGGAGGCCAAGAGTTTCCAGTCTACTTCATTCCGGGCACAGCAGGGAAAAGGTGGATCTGCATCACAATGCTTGAATATTTCAGGAGTTACCTGTGCTAAAATCAAGCCGGTTTTGACCCCTCCTAAGCTCTGTTTTACTTCTGGAACCGAGTGCTTTAAAGCAGCCCCCTCTTCAGCTTTCCCCCACTCCCCTGATTCCCTGTAAGACAGGCAGGGCCATATGGAAGAAGCTGGAGCTCAGATCTCCCTCGGAGGGTAGATTTCAGATGGATTGCCAGAGCCATGCATTGCAGGCACGTGCAAAAATATTGCCATCATGAAACTGCTGCTGCTGCTGCTGTGCAAGCCTGACCCTGCAAGCTGCCCAAATCCCCAGGGCCACTGAAGCCAGTGGGTGTGGAAGGCATTTTGGACCTGGGAGGACGTGGATCCTACACTGATTTTGTCCAAGTTTCAGGAAAACTTGCTCTTTTTTAAGAGCACTGGCCGAATTTTGCTCTTCCTGTTACAGCAGAAGAAATTGTTATAACAAAGAGAGTTACAGTAAAGTTGAATGGTCCTGAAAATGTGCCTCCATCTGTTCTGTAAAGGGACTGTGCTCCCCTCTGGAACTATCAACGCAATTGCAAAGTTATCTGAAGCAATTCTGAAGCTGGGAACTGGTCCCCGGTGAAAGAAGGAACAAAATTTAATTTTGAGCATAAAATTATCCTTCCAAAAAACGGTGGGTGCCCCCGGAGGGCGATGTAGTGGCTTCAGTGGTCGTATGTCAGGCAGCAGCAGCTTTGGCTTGGGCTTGGTGCAAGTCCACGAAGCTTCAAACACAGACACACCCTCTCCCCCCCCACCAGCTTGACCAAAACGGGGTCCCCGGGACGTGGAAGGTGTTCACAGACCCGTGGTGCTCACAGGTGGTGCTCAGCCTGCACCCACACCTCCCCAGCCCTGGCAGAGGAGCTGCAGAGAGCAGCTGAGCAGGGCTGCAGGTTTGCTCCCTGTGATCCCAGGGGGAATTTGCCCGCCGGGAATTTCCCTTGTCAAGCGAGGAGGGCGGGAGCAGGAGGGCGGCCCCGCAGCGACGGTCTCTTCCCAGCACAAGGCACTGTAAGTCCGTGTCCGTTCCCAGGAGCTGCCCTTGCCCAGCAGCTGGCTGCACCTTTTGGCTGGGCAGGCAGGGCTGAGGAGGAGAAGGGAGGTATCTCCGGAGGGAAGTGGCACAGGGAGCCTGGTTGCAGCCGGGATGGGGTGGGAGGCGTCGCACGCTGACAGCAAAGGGACCGCGGGAGCAACCACAGGCTGGACACGGGCTCGTGCAGCCCCTGGCTCTTCCCATCTCCTCTCCTGCAGTAGCTGTGCTCCTCCTCACTCAGGACACAACTGCAGGGTCGCTGGTCGTGTACAGACACGGTGACTCGGGGTGTGAACAGTGCCCTGCTCACCGCTGGGGACACAGAGGCGCAGGAGGGGACAGGGAGCGAGGACAGCCCAAAGTCAGAGCCACTTCTCTGGCCAGTGTGACGGGCTCAGTTCCTCACGTGTGACGAGCTCAGGCCTTCCCAGCCACAGCTGTGGAGGTGACATCTCTGTGAGGCCACTCCTGATGGCAGACATCTCATTATTTTCCTGCTGTCTCTCATAAACAGAAGAACAACAAACTCCCAGGCCGTCCTTCTGGGCAGATGAAACATTTGAATTTCATCAACAGCACAGGCACCAGATACCCTTGCACTGAAGGAGCAGCTGATTTTTGCCTGCTAGTGGACACAGCAGGCTGGGAAAACACAGAACCCTTTTCCCAGGAGTTTTCAAGTCCATATAACACCTTTCTGTGGATGATTGAAAGACCCATGAATTAAAATCTTTGCAGAAAAAACCCACTTCATAGTGTCTTGCAAATCAAATCTCCTGTTTAGAGAAGAGTCTCTTCAGTACCTGGGGAGTGAAAAGGAGCAGAGCTGCTCCAAAAGGGGAGTGGTGGTGGTGGATATCCACCAGGAAAGGGACTGGGACACTGGGTCAGGCTGGGTGTCCATCAGGTGCCCTTGCCACTGGAGCCCTGGGGGGCTGTGCAGGAGCTTGGATGGGCAGCAGGCACCTGGAGGTGACAGATTTGTGAGCTGAGCGCCCAAGGGGCACAGGCCCTCCATGTGTGACACCCCTGAGCAGCTCATCTGTGGCAGACCCCACCTCACCCTCTGCATTTATTCATGCCAGAGACATCGTGGCTACACCCACACGCCAGAAATGCCACATGGAGATGAGCAGAGTCTAGACAACTGGTGGAAGAGCCACATTTATGGAATAATAAAGCAGAGCCACAAGTTTCTTTCCCCCTGTGCTGCGGGAGAAAATGAAGCTCGAGGGGAGTGCGAAGCCCCCGCAGGCAAAGGGGATGGAGGAGAGAAATTCAGACGTCTGAGACTGACTCGACAGAAAACAGGGAATCAAAATTCCCAGTGTGGCTTGCGAGGACTGAATGGTCCTATTCAGTGGGAGCAGAGAGGAGCCCTGGGGGACATAAACTCCATGGGCCTTCATGGCAGGGATGGTGTTTCTCCTCCAGGGCCAGGCAGGGAGCACGGCCTTAAAACATGTTTATTAATTCCCTTCCAAAGGGCTCTGAAGGACTCACAGATCCAACGCCTGTTGGACGTGGGAGGGTTTTGCCATCTGCCTGGCACAGACCCCTTTGGAGACCCCCCAGAAGGCAAGGCAAGGCACACAGTTCCCTGCTGTTTGCACCGGCAGCTCAGGTGGAAGGGGGAGATGGAGGTGGCAAGTTTTGGGGTGCAGGAAAAGCAAGCCCGTTCAGCTCAGACACAGCATCCAGCAGCGATACGATTTCCAGGTGGGAGATGTTACAGCCATGCAGGCAGAAGGCAGGACAGGAGGAAACTACTTGCCAGCAACACAGGGAGAGCTGGAAAGAGGATGAAGACAAGGGAATTCCTTTGGGCACTCCCTCCTCCTCAGGCTGTACTGCTCCTTCTACCCAAGGAGGCCCAGAGCACAGAGCCCAGAGCCAGAATCAAATTTCCCCAAAGAAGAGGATGAGTTTGATTTTATTCCTTTAGCTGTGTTTCTGCAGCCATAGGGTCGGGGGGCAGGACCAGGCTCTGGGGCCTGGGAGCTGTCCCCACAAACAGTTCCTCTGCCCAAACTCCCCCGTCCCAGCAGCAGAGGGACCCAGCAAAGGGACCCCCATCCCACTGCCCGCCCTGGCTTTAGGGCACAACCCACAGGAGTGCACCGTGGGCTGCCCTTTTCCCTGCCCTGCCCTGCCTTCACCCCCAGGTCACCAAGTGCCCGGGGGGGCTGACACAAAGCTGGCTGTGCCCCTGGCTCCCTGCCCTGCTGCCAGCCCTGCCAGCCCGGCGAGCTCGGCTCTGGCCACACTGTGGCAGCATTCCTTCGTGTTTCGTACTGGGACCAGCAAAAACGAGGCCTGGATCTCAAATCCTCCCGGTGCCTGGAGGCTTTTCGCTCCCGGATTTTGGGCTGGAGTTCCTTCAAGCATTCAGGGAGTCGAAGTTGCAGAAGACGGTCACGGCACGTGGAGATGCGGCCAGGCAAGAGGAAGGAGAGGGCAGGATGAGGGTGGGAATAACCACACAGCCCGGGGCTGGGGAGCCAGCACGGCTTGTTCCGTGGGCTGGGAGAGCAGCAAACCTCCTGCAGCTGTTTTTTGTTCTGACTTTGGCTTGGGGCAGACAATCTCAGCCCCCTGAAAGCGAGCTCACCAGTGCAGCTCCCGGACAAAGCCTCTGCCGTGGCCGGTTTTGATGCTTCGCTCCGTGCAAGCCTCAGCAGAGCAGGGGCAGGAGGAAAGGACCAGCACCTGCCACCTCCAAATGCCAACCTCCTCTCCCTGCCTCCAGCCAGAGCTGCAGCCACGTCCTGCTGTCCTTGTCCTGGCAATGAGGGAGGACAAACCTTCTTCGGGGTGCGGAAGAGAGGAGGAGGAAGGACACACAAGGTCGCACGTGCTTTACCTCGCAGGCAGCTCTCCCCTGTTAAAGGGACTGATACCTCTCCGTGTTAACAGCTTGCTTTTGGGGCCAGGTTTTTGCAGCAGGGCTGAGGTGTGAGGGTGTCAGAGCCCAGAATCACGCAGCACCTTTGCAGCTGACCTCACCTCCCTCCTCACAGGAGACGTCCTGGCAGAGACAGCTCGTGCTCCCGCCGAGGGGACTGGTTCACCACAGGGATGCCACACGGATTTCTCTTGGCAGGAGGTTGCTCCACGCTGGCGTTTTCTGCTCCCAAAGCTGTGGAAGTGGCTGGGGTCTGCTGTGCCAGAACTGCCCATGGCACTGTGCTAAGGTGGAGCTGATGCTCTCCGGGGTTTCAAGACTCCTCCGCTGGCACATCCTCACCAAGGACCTGGAGCCTCCACAACCCTCCACGTGCTGCCTTCCCAATAAGCTTTGTAACAAGAGGTGCCTCTTGCAGCTGGAGTTGGAGACGCTTCTCTCCCATCCTCATGGCTTTCCAAGCTCACCTGGGAGAGGGTTCACAGCATGCAAAGTTCTGGAATGCAGCCCAGTCTCAATCTCTCCCACCAGCATCGTGGCTGCAGATGCCACAGGAGATATCCTGTGAAACCCTCTGGAGAACAGCCTGGCCCAGCAGCAGTCACTGCCACGAGCTTTTCCTCAGCATGCACATCAGCCTGTGTGTTCTGTGCTTGCTCCTCTGGGGGAGGACTTTCATGCCAGCAAAAGTGGGGACTGAGCAGAGGGAGAGGCTCACAGGGAACAGGGAGCAGAGAAAGGGGCAAACACAGCACAGAGCCCATTTAGGAGAAATCATGACACATAAATCCTGACACAAACAGACACATCTGTACCCAGGCTGCTTGGGGGGGAACAACATTCACAGGCACGAGGGCACTGCACATCATCTGCCCCCAGCCTCGGGCATATGTACAAGTCCAAAGGAAAGCCATGAAAACACGAGGATTCAGCCAAGCCCCGAGCTGGGGAAAGGGGGATCCTGGGGGGAATGACCCCCTGCTCTAGTCAAGCAACAGGACCGAGCCATTGCCCACCCCCTGCCACCTCTGCTCTCCCCCAAAACACCAAAAACGCGGGTGATCACGAAGGTGGTGATTTCATGCAGCTGCAAAATGCCCTCATGAGGAGGAGGGGAAATGTGGAGATCTGTAAAGAGCCACTGCGGGTTATAAAGCCATCGTACTTCAGTGGGGAAATCCGGGGAAGGGAAAGGGGGATGAGGGGGGGAGAAATGGCCACAGGACAAGAGCAAGAGAAAGAGGAAGAAAAGGAAATAAAAATCATCATCATCAGGACACAACAACAGGACGAGAGACAGAGCGCTTTCCATGGGCGGTTCCCCGTGGAAAAGGAGCCACCGTGTCCGTGAAATACAAAACCCAGTGCCCTCCAGCTGGAGGGGGCAGCAGGTGCTGGGACTGGTTTGGCATCCCCTTGGGGTGAAGGGTCCGGTTAGGAGCAGAAAACCCTGCAAGGGAAAGGGGAGAAAGGCCAGCCTTAGGGGGAGCAGTGAGGAGCACAGGATCATCCCGACCTGGATTTGCCACAGACAGGGGTTTCCAGAGCCCTTTGCAGCTGGGTGAGGAAGGGAACCTTTATCCCTCTCTCAGGTGCTCTGTGTACAGTGCAGACCCCAAAGCATGTGACGCCTCGGGAGAAAAATTCCCGCCAAACCTCAGGGATGTTGGGAAACCCAGAGCCAAGCTCTGGGTCAGGCTACTGAGGGCCAGCACAAGGAGCAAGATCCACTCAGCTGCCCATCCTTTATCCTAAATAATCCTTCTGCTCAGCCAGGGAAAATCCCACCATGACAGAGCTGAGCAAATGGCAGGACATGGTAGAGTGGAAACAAACACAGCAAAATGTCAAGACTTTTTACTTCTTCTGGTTGTTTTTACAATAGCAGGAAGAAAAAAATCCCTAGATCTTTCCTAACTGGGCATGGAGCATCCTGGAGACCTCTCCCACCTGCTGCATGGACACCTGGAGCCAGCCAGGTCCCCCCCTGGAGCTGGGGGGAGTCACCCCTTCCCACGGCTCTTTCCAGCCTGGAGGAAGGCAGCTGGCAGGGCTGTTTTCCTTGGAAATTCCCTTTGGATAGGACGGTGTCTGAGCACTCAGGAAGACCGGGGGGGGGGATTTGTCCTAGTGAGGTGACACCTATTTCAGAGACACCTATTTCAGGTGACTCCTATTTCAGAGCGCCAAAATCCATGCCTTTCTCAGGACCAGGGAGGTTAAGGAAGTTAAATCTTCCTTCCCCATCCCTTCCCAGTCCTGCAGCCCACGCACTTGGGAGGCCATTGCAGGGGTTAAAACAAACATGTCAACTCACTCATCCGTGTCTTTTTTGCTCTCCTCGATGAACGCGATGGACTCGGATCTAAGGCGGTTCGTCACTTCGTACGTACGCAGGGTGACTCCAAAAATATCCTCGTGGTACCGGCTGTCATCCTGAGGGACAGGGTGGCAGAGGGGAAAAAGGAGCATTTGCAAACAGTTGGTGTTGTTGCAGGCTCTGGTGTGGCGGGGAGGTGCCAAACACACGGCGAAGGGCCTGGGGTCTGTCACGGGAGGGGGTGGGATGGCAGGGCAGAGGGGCAGGAGTGAGCAGGGAGGGGAAAGGACCTTGCCAAGGTCACAGCGTGGGGCAGCCCAGGAGCTGCTCCCTGTGTTAGATCTCCTCAGCTGCTGGCAGCCCAGGGACTGCCTGGCATCAGGGGGACAAGCAGCCCAAAGCCAGCCCATGTACAACCAACTCTGGGATCCCTCAGCTCCTGGGTGGAGTGTGGGGACGTGGTTCAGAAGGGGTCATCCCACAGGAATCAGGCTGGACTATCTTCCTGAGCATCCATCCCTGGGCCTGTGTCCCAAACTGAGCTCATCTGAGCTCCAGCTGCAACATCTGGGCAATGTGATTGCCCAGGGACATCACCCTGCCAGCCACAGAGACGGGGAGATTTGGACAGGGGGCCCCACAAACTGCCCTGGTGGATGGGTGGGATGGGAGGATGGGTGGGATGGGTGGATGGGAGGGACTGCCCTGGTGGATGGGAGGTGGGTGGTCTGTGATAGAGGGACTTGAAAGTAATTCTTGTTTGAAGGAGGGACTGATCAAGGTGAACAATCCCTGCCTGGGCTACCAAGGGTGCCCACAAGGTTTTGTCCCAGTGCCCAGCAGAGCAGCAGCTCATCCCAGGAGCCCAGCATGGGCTGAGGGGGCTGCAGAGCTCCCACAGAGCAACGAGACTTCCCCTGTGCACCCAAACTTCTGGGAGACCACCCTCCTGACCTCTCCCAGACCTTGGGAGCGGGGGCAGGACCACAACCCCCCCCCAGTGCCTGTCACCTCACTCTGCCTGCGCGGCAGGAGCAGGCAGGAGCAGGCAGCAGCTGCACTGCCCGTGGCAGGGGCCGTGTGGGGTCTCAGGGGGCACACACCGCTCACCCTCAGCTTGCTGATGAAGGCGCCCGCCTCCTCCACCGACAGCTGGCCCTGCTGCCTCACGATGCGCTGGACGGTCTTGAGGACGTCCCCGGCCATGGTGACATCCCCGCAGACGTAGATGTGGCCTCCCTGCTCCTTCAGCGCTTTGAACACCGTCTGGGCCAGCTGCTCCTGCAACACGTCCTGCACGTATTTCTGAGGGAGGAGGAGGAGGAGGAGGAGGGAGATGGGATTGACTCCAGTTTCTCAGCCCTACCCACCTGCGGGCTCTGTGTGCACCAGCCACCCTTGAGGCAGCAGTGCAAGGTGACACCTCCTTGGGGGAACGAGCCTGAGCCTCACAGCACCCACAGGGACAGAAAAGAGATGGGGAAGGCGGCAGAGCATCGTCCTGCTCTTGCACGTTCACACCTTCACCATGTCTTTCGTGGCCAGGCCTGCTCAGGTGCCTGTGGGAATTCGGAGCAGGCTTTGTGCTGGCTCTGGGTGCTGTCACCCACTAGGTGACATCCCTCCTCGCCCACCTGCTTGAGAGGCCCTTTTCCCTCCCTCATCTGCTCCCACCCAGTGAGGATGGCTGCAGCCCCCCAGGGCAAAGCATGAGCAGCGTGGGCACACACTGGGGTGGTGCAGGGATGGGGATGTGCCCTGGGAATGGGGCTGCACCGGGAAGGGATGATCCTGCACACTCATGGCATGAGCTACCGGGGCCGTGCCAAGGGACGGGCACCTCCACCATGTGCTGGCTGGCCAGGGCCACCCAGGGCTGCCCGGCAGCACCACAGCAGTGCCCACCACACACCTTTGGTTTGTCTGGCTCCCGGGAGTAGGCTGTGTACAGCTCTCTGAAGACACCTTGGGCTTTGGCAAAGAGCGTCTCCTCCTTGTAGATGTGGTCGATCCTGGACTGCCGGCAGCCAAACACCAGGACCATGGGACAAGGCTTCAGCCCTGGGGAGGATTGGAAGCAGGTAACCCAGGGATCACCGATCCCCAGTTTCTGTAAGCCACCTCCCTCCAGACCTGCCAGCAGACCCACTGGGACATCCCAGGCAGGAGACTGGACCCCTCCATCCCTCTGCCACCAGCCCAGGGTTCCCAAGCAGTGCCTGAGATGAGGTTCAGGAGGGACGAGCGTTGACCCACCTTTGTGCTGGATCTCAAAAAGCCGCTGCTGCCAGAAGCTGCGGAAAGGGGCGATGCCGGTGCCGGGGCCGATGAGGATGCAGGGCACCTGGGGGTCCTGGGGCAGGTGGAACCCCGGGGCACTGCACACACCAAAGACACCAGTTAAACCCAAGCTCCCTCCCTCGCCTCTGCCCACAGCCAGCTGAGACAGCACCTGGGCAGGGAGGGGTAGAAAACGAGGTGAAGTCCCAGAGAGCAACATTTTAGCGCAGAACTGCACCCGAGGGCTTTTGCTCGCAAATCCAGCCTTGTTTTCTCCCACCATGAGAAGAATTGAGGGCAGACATCCCATCCTGCAAGGGGGCTCACCCAGTCTTTCCCACCCCTTGTGGAACACTTACCCCCTTACAAAGCAGGGCACCACTTCATCGGGCTGTATCCGATTGAGCCAAGAGGAGCAGACTCCGTGGTGGATTGGCCCTTCTCCATCTGGGAGGGGAGGGAAGGAGGTCTGTACCTGACACACCAGCCAACAACTCCAGTTGTCTTCTTTCCTAAAACCCTCCCTGCTACATCCCACATGAGCACCTCACTGAGACAGTCAGTGTCTCTGCACCCATTCCCCTTGTAGAACTTGGTAGAACTGGCACTCAGATCCCTCCGTGGAGCTGCCCAAGTTCACCCAGAACCCGGGAGATTTGGGCCTCCACAATATTTAGGAAGAACCTGACTCTTCTTTGGTCCTTTTTGGCAGGAGCAGCATTGTGCTGTGGTGCTCCCAGGCACAAGCCCTCCGTGGCAGCCCCAGATGGATGTCCCCGTGTCCCACCTGCTGTCTTCTCTGTGTCCCACTGGCTGCAGGAGCACCAGGGCCCTGCCCATCCACACCATCCCCAGAGCTGCTTGGGCAGGTACAGACATTTTCCTAGGAGCAATGTGGACTTTGAGGTGGGAAAAGAGGGCCCTACACGGAGCTTGGATTATGCACCTCACCCAGACACGGCACCTCTGGAATAAGCTGACACTTTATGGACGGTTGTTCTCCATAACATGGCACAGCCGTGCCATGAGTTGAGGGAATCTGGTCACTCCAACAGGTAGAAAGGCTTTAAACACCATCTCTCTGCCAAAGGTTTTGTGGTGTTGCCCATGTGTCCAGCTCTGGGCCCCTCAGTTCAGGAAGGCCCTGGAGGGGCTGGAGCAGGTCCAGAGAAGAGCAACAAGGCTGGGGAAGGGACTGGAGCACAATTCCCATGAGGAGAGGCTGAGGGAGCTGGGGCTGTTCAGCCTGGAGAAGAGGAGGCTCAGGGGAGACCTCCTCACTCTCTGCAACTCCCTGACAGGAGGGGGGAGCCAGGTGGGGGTTGGTCTCTTCTCCCAGGCAACTATCAGCAAGACAAGAGGGTTTGGTCTTATGCTGTGCCAGGGGAGGTTTAGGTTGGATATTAGGAAGAAATTCTTTACAGAGAGGGTAATCAGACATTGGAATGGGCTGCCCAGGGAGGGGATGGATTCTCTGTCCCTGGAGGTTTTTATGGTAAGACTGGATGTGGCATCAGTGCCATGGTCTGGAAACCACAGCGGGGTTGGATCAAGGGTTGGACTGGATGATCTCGGAGGCCCCTTCCAACCCAGCTGATTCTCTGATTCTCCGATTCTCTGATTCTATGATTCCATGATTCTATGATTCTATGATTCCATGTGCTGCTGCTCTGCCCCTGCTCCCCCCAGCCCGGTACCTCTGGTGCGGTAGGAGACCACGGCCACGGTGAGATGGACCTCGCCCGGGTACAGCTCTGGGGAGGAGCTGATGGAGTAGTAGCGTGGCTGGAGGAGGGGGAGCTGTGTGAGCAGCAGCGTGGAGGGCATCTGCACCGAGGGGAACTCCTCCAGCACCTCCACGATGGTGGGGTTCTTGGACCACTTCCACTCCTCGTATTCCTGCAGGCCCTGGAGAGAGGGAGGGAGGAGAGAGCTGCAGCATCCACCTCTTCCAAGCCAGGTGCCTCCACTGATATCCCACCAGGTCCATAACAAAGGTGGGTGGCAGTGAAGGCAGGGCAGGATGAGCCCTGCTGCCATGGGTGGAGACTCAGCCTCACCACAGTGTGGGATGAAAACGCCCTGGGGTTGTCATTGTCCCCCAGGGCCTTGGAGAACCTGGGGCTTGGGTTCCTTACCTTGCTGAGGACCTGCAGACGTTTCTTCTCCGTCTCACTGGTGGCCAACAAAGCAAACTGCTGCAGCAGCAGGGGCGTGGGAGGGGTGGTGATGTCCAAATAGTACTTAAAAGCCTGGAAGATGGTGCACGGTGGGACACGGTTCTCGTCTGTCCAGTTGCTGATGACACCTGCCAGGAGGGAATGCAGCACAAGCACAGGATCAGCACAGGAGCCAAGGTGGGCAAATCTCTGCTTTCATCCCCCATGTCAGCTCTGAGACAGTGGATTACTGTGTTCCAGCTCTGGTTACACTGTGCATGGCTGTGTCAGACTTATCCCTGAAATACAGTGTTGGGATGGTCCATTCAGCACCCCCTAACTCTTCTTTCCAGTCCCAGACGTTGCTCTTTCTATGAAAATATAAATACCTTTAATTTTCCCAAGGAATAAGGAAATATCTTCCCCAGGGCCCTGCTCACCCTTCAAACCCTTTCTCTACATCCCGAGTGCAGAGGAGCCGCAGCTCTGGGCAGAGGAAGGTTGAAGGAGGTGCCCCCAGTCCAGGAAAACGCAGCAGCGAGACGGGAAATGATTTCTCCTGGGGGCCACCCAGCACCCTGAGGAGCTGCTGCAGGAGCTGGGCGAGGAGGAGAGAGGCCACCCCTGCAGGAGGTGGCCCTGGTTACCTAGAGCCGTGCTCCTCTCCTCCAGCAGCTCCACCTTCACCAGCTGGTTGGCCGGAGGGGCATCTTCAAGCCTGTCGATCAGGGCGTTGACCAAGTCCTCGTGGTTCCCTGGAAACACCCCCAGGTGGTCCCCGGGCAGGTACTGCAGCCCCTGGTGCCCCTCGGTGTGCAGGCGCAGGAAGATCGTCAGGCGGCTGCAGGGAAAGGAGGGAAAGGAGGGAAAGGAGGGAAAGGAGGGAAAGCAGGATGTGTTTTTGGGGGAGTCGCTGAGCTCTGGCCTCGAGAGCTGCTGGGCGTGCTGGGCACTGGTGGCACGGCCGAGCCGCGGTGCCCCCTGAGCGTGTCCCCAAGGTCACAGCAGGGAGAGGGGACGCTGCATCCCCCGCCTCCCACCCCATCCCGTGCCGCTGACTCACCCTCGGGGGCTTTTCAAAAAGGGGAAAAAAACCAGTTTAACCTCTCGTTTCAGCAATTTGATCGTTTCTTTGGCTTCCCATCCCCCGGGGCTAATTGAGGCGGCAGCAGCAGAGATCTCGCCGGGCACAGAGGCGGGGAACACCCCTCCCCGGCTTCACGTGGCTTCCAGCATTACTCAGGGTTTGCACAGAGGTGGATTCCACGGGGCGTTCAGGGGTCAAGGGCAGCAGCACTGCGTGCACGGGTGCTTGGGTGCACCACCAGGGTGTCCAGCTCCCAGGAGAGCTGCACTTCCTACCTGGACTTGGGGCTCTGCAGGTTCTGGCGCGTGATCAGCCGGGCTGCATAGACGCGTTTTTTGTGGATGCTGTACAGTCCTGAGGAGGAGAAGTGTCAGGGAAGGAATTCAGCAGAGGCTTCTGGCTCTCACAGGGCTGTTGGTCACTGCTGAGGGCTCAGCCCTTCAGACCAGTGCTGGCCACAGCCAGAGGACCACGGGCTCAGCACCCTCCTGCACAGCTCCAGCGAGCCTGGGGGATCAGAAACCCCAGGGGAAAAGCAAACACGTGTCCCTTTTGTCAGTGACCCAGGAGGACTCTGAGATGCAGGGATGTGCCCTCATGTGCCCGCAGGCACCTCTCGCTGCCAGGGCCACCTGGCTGGCAGGGAAGAGCCTGGATTTGGGAAGAGCTGAGCAGCCAGTGCGGCAGATCCTCAGCTGCAGGAGCCGTGCTGAGGGGCCAGGTGTCGCTGGGCTGGACCTGCCGTGGAGCGGCATTGGACGGAGAGAGCTTGGAAAGATCCCAGGTTTCCAGCTCCCTGGTTCAAAAAATGGGGTCAGGAGGAGGGAGATCAGATCATCTCCAAACATCTCTGTTACGGACACAGACAGGGACCAGCCAGAGGGGCCTGAGACCATCACAAGCTGCTCCCTGGGCATGTGATGGCGGTGAAAGGCAGGGCTGAAACGCTGGGAATTTAACACAGAACAAGCAAGGAGGTTTGGCCCCTTTGTCCTCAGTAAAACCCACTGTGTCTCCTCCACCTGCCCCACCAGCTGACCCCATCTTCATACCTTGTGTGAGCTCTGGGGCCTCGGCCACGTAGGTCAGCCGAAACTTGCTCCTCTTCCAGCTGCGGTCGTTGCTGATGAGGGAGTTGTTTGCTTTCTCGATGTTGACGTCGTCCCCCACGCAGAACACGTCACACGCTGCCTGCAGCACACACCAGGCTCTCAGGCATCCCCCCCTGCCCCTGGGGAGCCCCCTTGTCCCAGCCCACCCCTGCCAACCGAGGAGAAGGAGCCCCCAGCACGCAGGGCTACACCAGTGGCCACGGGCGTGCCTCGTGGTGCCCTCCTTCCCCAAACATCTGGGATAACACAGTAATTCAACCCAGTGCTCCCCCTCGGTGTGCAGCACAAACCAGAGCATCACCTCCACCAAAATACGGAGCACCCCGGGCTGGGGTGGTGCCAGAGTGTCCCAGAGCAGGGAAGGAGAGGCTGGGTTTTGATCCAGCTCTAACCAGCAGTTGTGCTCTGTCCCTCTGTTCTCCCCCCTGCTCCTCCCCGGAGCACCAGGGAAGCGGGTTTACCTTGAAGACCTTCTTGGCCCAGGTCCTGAAGGACTCCTCCTGGCCGCAGAGCTCGTCCCCCTCTCCCATGCGGAGGATCCTCTCCCCACCCAGCTCCTCCAGGAGCGTGTCCACGGCCCGGGCGAAGGCGCAGAAGTGGGGGTAGGCACGTGAGCCCAGCCCAAACACGGAGAACCTGCGGAGAGGTGGCTCAGCCGTGGCTGCCCAGCTGGGAGGGACACTGGCACCCCCCTCTCCTGCCCCACCGCCCCCCAGGGAGCGTGGAGGGGTCTGCAAGTGGCTAAAATACACCATGTGTGGGGTAAGAGCTGGGGGGCAGACGGGCTCTGTGCAGCACCGGCTCCTGCTCTGTCCCTCCTGCAGCAGGAACTCCTGCCTCCCGCCCCGTGCCCTTTACCTGACGTTAGCCAGAGGCCCCGTGCTCTCAAAGTTGTCCCTGGAATCAGGGCCATCACTGGAGGATTTCCGAGCGTCCGAGTAAGAGGAGACGCTGTTGAAACGGACCTTGTAGCTCCTGTGAACAGCAACAACAGCCAGTGTTCCAGAGGTGACACCTGGGGGGGGGTCCTCCCCGGGGACCAAATTGTGCAGGACACCCAGCCAGAGCTCAGGGTTCAATATTCCATGTGCTCCCTCCCAGGGTTAGGCCACCCACGGTCACCTCCATGAGGTCCTTGGCCACCCCATTGTCCCCAGTGGTGCAGAGCTGACGGGACCTTTGGCACCACCTGTCCTTCCCTGGCAGCACACAAGGTCGGGTGTATGTCTGAACAGATATTCTGAGGGTGTTTTTTTCATTCATAGGAAGTGGAAAATAAATTTAAAAGAAAGAAAAAAAAAGGAGCGAGAGAAGAAGGGGGAAGGGGAGCGGAGAAAAAAAAATCTGACAACAGCAGAAGTATTTCTGAATCGAACCATCTTCAAAAATTGCTCTTCACAAGGGTTTCTAAATATACTGGCAGAGCAGCGAGGCTGTGGTGTGTGCATGAGTCACGGCAGACCTCCTGCACCCGGCACGGCATCACAGAGACAACCCCGGAGAGAAACCACTGCCAGGGTCACAGAGCCCTGGGCTCCAGGTCTGCTCCACAGCCTCCTCCTTCCTTCCTTCCTTCCCAGGTTTCCACGCTTTCCTGCTTCACTCCACCTGCTTTGGTCCACTTCTTCCTCTGCTGTGCCCGTGTCCTCCCCCCGGGTCAGCCCAGGTTGTGTGGGGAGGGCAGGGCAGCACAACCCACGGGCTGGGCACAAAGCCCAGATTCCCCAGGGGGGTGCTGGGTCCGAGGTTGGGGCACCAGCAGCTTTTGCTGCAACGGGAAGGTCTCTGTGGTGGGAAATGACTGCTGAAGGACGGGCTGCATTGAGTAGCAGGTCCTTAAATAGGAATGGCTGATGAATGCCCCGGAAAACCCTTGGAAAACCCTTGCTGGAAGACGTGAGGAATCAAATCTACAACCACAGCACAACCACAGGGCTGTGGTCAGAGAGCTACAGCCACAGTGCCTTGGCAGGCTCCTCCAGACACTGGGATTTAGAGAGGCCACCCTACTCTGAGGGGTCTCAGCCACCCTCAGCATTCCCTGTTGGACACGGAGCTGGGAGTGGGCAGGAACTGCTCTCTCCAGTTCTATTCTACAGACCCCAGGCTGACACTGTCCCTCTTCCCCAGACAGTCTCCTCCAGGTCTCCTTTTCTCACTGCAAAAGCTTTTTTCCATGTTTAACATCAGCAAAGCCCTGGACATGGACTGGGGCAATCCCAAGCACAAATACAGGTTGCCCAGAGAAGCTGTGGCTGCCCCTGGATCCCTGGAAGTGTCCAAGGCCAGCTTGGACGGGGCCTGGAGCAACCTGGGCTAGTGGGAGGTGTCCCTGCCCATGGCAGGGGGTGGCACTGGAGGAGCTTTAAGGTCCCTTCCAACCCAAACCATTCCATGATTCTGTGATCTCTTCCTGCTATCCAGAGCTGTGACCTCTTGGCCTGTCTTGCAGGGAGCACAGGCAGCAATTTATTCCCTCCACCTCTGCAGCCACCTTTTCCATCTACGAAATCTGCCACCTCACTCCCTTTCTGCCTCCTTTCCTCCAGATAAAATAGCTCTCGCCCTTTTGATCCGTCGCTGTTTCCAGCACTCTGCCCACTTTTGCTGTCAGGTAACGGAGCCACAGGCTCTCCTGGCTCTCAGAAACTCCTGCCAGCCCTGAAATTACACTTAGAGGTGACTGGGACAATGAGCCCTGAGCTTTTTATAAACTGGGCTTTTTATCCTCCTCAAATCTGCCTGGCTCCTCACGGGCGGCACCGCCGCACCCAACCCGGTGTTGCACCCCAAAAAGTGAAGATCCTCGGGGTGAGAACCACGTGTGAAATGGTGCAGACACCTCCAGGGCATGCCTGTTTTGTCGGCTGTCCCCATTAAGGCACGAGGCCATCAGGAACCGGGTGGGTTTTCAGCAGCCCTGCGGGGATCCCTCGGAGGACTTGGCTGCTCAGCAAGGGGACAACTTCGGGGCTGCGGCGTGGCCAGCACTGGAGAGCCACAAATTGGTGCCTGTCACCGCCCTGCAGCCCCACCCACGCTGCTCAGGCAGAAAGGCAGGGCCGGGAAATCCCCCTGCACCCCCCTGCCCGGGGCTAATTCACCCGTAATTAAGGAGCAGCCTTTTGCCAGTTGTTGACTGGGCAGACATTCCAGAGCAGAGCAGTGTCCCGGTTCAGTGGAATATATTCCTATTAGTAGCTAAAATCAGAGACCCAAGTGATTATTAACACTTTGTCTGCCCTCCCTTCCCAGCCTCTGGAATGTTGCACAGAGATGCTCAAGGCTCCAATCTCCCAGCGAGGGGGGATTTTCTACAACCCCGGATTCTGTCTCCAAGGCACCAGTTCCAGACTCGCTGTTACAAACATTGCAGGGTTTATAACAGCTCTTATTTTTCCCTAGAAATATTTTCACACGATGCATGAAGTTAAATTTGGTTCCCGAGCCCTCCCTCCACCTACATCCACATAGCAGGGAACTCCCTTCTACCTCCAACTCCTACTATTTTTGTGTCTCCTGGACAGCCCCAGCTCTCAGATTGGATGATTTTGGGGAAGTTCCTACTTTTATTTGTTTGTTTGTTTTTTTTTTTTTCATAGATTCCTGACTCTTAAAGCTGAACAAAGGAGCTTTGAAATGGAACTACAAGCTGGAGTCCACAGGCCCAGTGTGTTTGTCCTCCCTGGGACCTCCTCTCTCTCCATTCCCTGCTTCTCCAGGCAGGTCCCATCCCTTGGATCTTTGCAAACGTGACGCCTGCATGAGGATTTCCCACTCCCTTCTGGGAGGATGAAGGCCAAGAAGCAGGGTATCCTGCCTGGGGGGGCTGCTGGGGTTTGGACTGGGGAGGGAGGGGTTTGGAATGCTCTTACTTCCTCTCCTCCAGGTGGGAGTTGGGATTCTTCATCTCCATCAACGCGCAGCCAAATTTCTGCAGAAAGGGAATAAAAAAGGCCGTCAGTTTTGCCGGTCTCTGCAGGAAATGAAGCTGTGATCAGTGACTGTGAGTGGGAACAAGCAGATATCCCTATTTCTGAGCAGGCTGGGTTTAGGCAGGTCCAGCACCACGTGTCACACAAAGCCCAGACCTGTCCTGGGCCATTCCAGCCCAGGCTGGGCGAAAAGAGGATGTTCTTCCCCATGTCCCAGTGCCTGTCCCCTGCTGCAGCCCCCACCCCTGTGCTCTCTCCTACCTCTCCATTCTCAGGGGGGTCCCCGTTGCCGAAGGTGCTGGTGACCACCAGGACCATGGTTTCGTGCTCCAGGTGCACGACGTCGTACTCGTCCATGGACATCACCTGGGAGGGGACAGAGAGGGCAGCAGGAGCTGGGGAGATCCACCACCAGCCAGTCTGCTGGGATGGAGCCCATTCCACCCGGAGATGGGACATGTCCCTGCTGACTCCATGCCGGTGCTCTGGCAGAGATCTCCCCACAGGGAGGACGAGGACAAGAGCCTTGAGGGACATGGGCAACCATGGAGCTGCCACTCAAGAGGCTGTAGGAATATGTGTGCTACAATGCAGGAGTATTAGCTGGAAAAATTCCTGTGCAGGTGTCAACCCAGACCCTGTGTCCTGGTTAAAACAGCTGGGACCAGCTCATCACTGGATGGGTGTAACCCAAAACTGTGTATTCCAGAGCCTTCCAAGCCATTGCCCAGAAACTGTTATCAACAGAGCATTTGCACCCTCTGCCCAGAGCAGCCCTGACCCCTCAGGCTGTAAACTGGGTGTTAAGAGGCCTGGGAGACAGGAGGGTGCTCCTGTCCTCACACCCAGTGTGGAACTCCCCGTCCTGAGGGAGGTACTGGGCATTCCTGCCTGAACTGGAGGATAGATAATCTTGGGGTCTTGGGACTTTTTTAACCACTTGTGGGATCCAGAGGAAGACTGCGGACCACCACTCTCGACTGGACTGCAACCACCACTCTCAACCAGACTGCAACCACCACTCTTGACCAGACTGCAACCACCACTCTCAACCAGACTGCACCACCACTCTCACCAACAGGTTTTCCCCTCTCCTTTTCCTTTGGACTCAGGGGGCCCAAAGAACATCACTCTGTTCATGCCCCAGGGTGCTGGGTTATACATTTGGGTTTTGTGGGTTAAAACCAACTGTTTGTCTGTATAATCGTACTTATTGTATTATTTTATTAAATTGTTATTCTGATTTATAATCTCTCTTTTGAGTTGAGTTCATTTCCCCCGCCGGTTTACCTTAAACCAGCACACCCTGGGAGCTGCTGGAGTCCCTTGGCAGCCAGGAAGCTCCACAGGCATCGAACCACGTATTTTCCAACATCCATATATATTTCCTTGGCCCACCCATAATTCTGTGCCCACCCCCTTGCAGGAGTCAGGAGCTGGGGCAATACCTTGGCATCGAAAGCGTGTTTGAAGATTTCACACAGAGTTTTTGCATAGACCTGGGACTTCCCCGTCTCCGTGGCGTACAGGATGGTGGCCTTGACCCTCTTGGCCATGGCCTGTCCCATCAGCTTGGCCGAGAACTTCACAGCCCTAGGAAGCAAGAGGGGAATCCCAGTAAGAGAGTTTGCTGTCAGTGCCTCTAGCCCAGACCCTTTTATTCATTATTAAATGAACTGTCTGCCTTAAAAAGTTGCAGCGTCACTTCTTTTGTGAAGCTGTGGAAGAGCACGTTCATCTTGACTTGTCAGAGGGGAAGAGTGGATGGGGGAGCTTGAGCATGGAGCTGAAACACCTGAATGGGTGTAAGGAGGAAAATGCTAACCCAGGTGTGGGGTGGGATTTCTGCAGGGGCAGAGAAGCAGAAGAAGAATTGGGGGTAGAAGTCACTGAAAGCACTGGCCAGGTAACGTCACAGGAAAAGCTGGAGACCAGCCAGAGCTGAAGCAACAGGAGGAACAGGAGCTTCTCCATCCCTTTAAACCCAACCTGTCTGCCTTTCTGCAGGAGGTGTCTCAGCCAACCTCACACCTACAGCCCTGAGACGCCAAGGAGGTCAGACAGAGCTGTCTGCACCCCCTCTCATCTGCACTGCGGTGACTCTGTGACCCTTCCTGGCAGGGAATTTCCTCCCAGGGCCCAGGGGTTGCCCATTTCTCTGAGCCGTGCCCAGCTGCCTCCCGTGGCTGCAGTCGTGACCGGCCGTGTGTCCTCCAGTTCTCCCCACGGGCTCAGCTCTGGCAGAGGGGCCTGAGAGGTCACCAGCCTCTCCAATCCTGGCCAAGGTGCTGCAGCACTGGGAATGCTGACTGCCTGTCTGTGGCATCAGTGGGAGCACCGTGACAGGGCACAGGGGAGACACGAACCACTTTTGGGGCACTGAGCCTGCTGTGGCCAGTTTGTCATGTTAGGGCCATTCATAATCACATCAACACTGTTTCTCCTAAGTGCAGAGTATCTTCACCTTTTCTAAGTGGACCATCAAGCCTTTAAATGGGGCCACCAGAGGTCTGGATTTAGCCTGATGCTGCAACAGGGAAAGGGCAGTTTTTGGGAGGCTGAGAGAGCACAAAGCAGCTCTGTGGCCTTTGCAAGAATAAGGGCTGCTTGGTTCCCTTTGCCAGGGGGATCAGACCCTGCCCCAGGTTCTGCAGTTCAGCAGGACTCCTGCATCCCCTTCAGATGAGCTGTGGGGAATAGACACTGCAGCTGGGCTGGTCCCACTGCTGGGAGAAGAGAAGTCCAGCTTCCCACTGCCAAAGAGGGAAGAAATGCTCTGGGAGAATCACTTAGGGAAAAAAAAAAAGGGAGGAAAGAAGAGGTAGAAACCGCCCCAGGATGGTTCATCCTGCCTCCCCTGGGCAGCTCCTCTCCATGTCAAAGTCAGCCTCGGGAACATTTCTAGTTGCTGCTCTGTGACCACTCCTTTGCTTTCCTATGGGGGAAATGTCCTCTGTCCCCAGGACTTGCACAGTCCCCAGAGGAGGGAAGGGGCAGGACAGGCAGGGAGTGAAGGTTTGAAGGCTCAGATTTGGCCAGAACCAGCACAGCCTGTCTGAGCAGGCACAAAACCCCCCTGTGACCAGTGCCAAGCACAGCACTCGGGGCTGCCGGGCTGGGTCTGCCCCTCGTTCAGCTCATCAGCTCAGACTAATGGGGAATTACACAAATAATTCCTTTTCCCTCCATCGGGAACAATGGAAATTTTTTTTCTTTTTCTTTTTTTTAAATTACCTGCCACGCTCACATTTTCATCAAGCCATCCCTCACCCGGGCACACACCGACACAGGCATTGTTTCTCCTCCCTCAATGGCCCAATTAATCTCCCCCGTGCTCTCCCCAGCCCGGGCTCAGCTCCGGTGTCAGCTGAAGGAGCACATTCATCAGCTGCTGATCATGTTTATGGATGCAGCTCGCAGGAGGTGACAGCTGAAGAGTGGGAACAAACCGATGGGAGGGGCTGGTGGGAGCTGAGGCGTGGGGAGCTGCCGTGAGGAGCCAGGGCCACCTGGCAGCCTGGCCACCAACCCGGGGCACACCCAGCCCTCCCCAGCCTTGGCCAGCAGCTCCTCCTGGAGCTCCTACCTCCCTGCCAATGGCCCACGGGGGAGGCATTTGGGCCAGGATCAGCCTAAAGGTCCAAATTACACTTCATTCCTCCGCCCCTGCTGACTTGGAGCTTTGGCAGGGGAGAGGGACTCGTGTGGCCCTTTTCCAGGGGTCAAGTGACCATGAAGTGCAAATCTCAGCTCAGCCCTGCTCCATCTGCTGCCTGGAGGGAGATTCCTCCTTCCTGTCTCCCCCCCTCCTTGCAAGGAGGGTGTTTGGAGGGTTAGACACTCACTGGAGACCTCAAGGAGGTAAAGAATCACTGAGAAAAAGAGAAAGATGGACACGAGTTTCATGTCACCTGTGCCAGCACAGCCCTGGACAGTGAGGGGGGATGTCCCTGCCCCAAGGAGGCTGTGAAAGGAGAACCAGGCAACACACCCACAAAAAAGTGGGAAGGCCATCCCTGAGCATCTCTTACTGGAGAATGAACAGCTTGGGAGAACAGACTATGTGCAACATCTGCTATTCACCCTGTCCCACACCTTCTGGTGGTCTAATGGGGCCTTCAAAGACTGTCTGCCTGTCCAAATGTCCCTCGTGGTAAAGCCCCCACAGGTCCAGCCTCACACCCCTCTCTCACAGGGCAACTCCATCAGTCAGAGCTGCCCAAAACCAGGACCAGCCCCAAACACTCCAGGGTTTTCCAGAGCCTGCTGGTACTTACTTTGCTAACTTCTTAAATCCAATGGCCCTCTTCTTGGTGGGCGTCCCATTGACCCCTTTCCAGACGTGGGTGTTCCAGGGGTCCGGCTGGAGAGAGAAGGGCAGCAGTGCTCAGAGCTTTGGGAATGCTTCCATATATTAGAGATTTCCTGCTTCCAGGGAGGGGGGACCCATGGCTTGATTTGGGAGGGGAAGGAGCAGTGTCACCCCCAGGGAACCATCCAGAGGGAGCTGAGGGGTGGGAAGGGGGTGAGGGGACACTCAGAGCCCTCCCAGCTCCACAGGGGGGCTGGAGGGGGCTGGAAAAGCCCTTTTTTTGTTGTTTTTTACCTGCACAATAAGTACAGCCTCAAATTTGAGCTCCTCGAGCCCTTCTGGGAGCTTTGGGAAGGGCTGCCATGGGAAAAAGACCCTCTCTGAAGGGCTGGGGGCTCACCCACGGCTCTGCTGAACCAGGGGACAAAACCAGGGAGAGGCAGGAGAGAGGGGAAAGGAGCCAACACCGTTTTCCACCTGCTCCAGGCGCACTGAGCCCCAAATCCCAGGGCTCCAGGGCTCCAGCAGCACCCAGGATTGAATTCCTCGAGCCATGAAGGGGAGGAGCAGCTGGACTCCTCTTCACAGCTCTCCCTCATCCTCGAAGCCCCTGGGGGGTATTTTCAGGGCATTTGGGCAACGGAGTATGCACAGAAAAATTGCAATATCATAAACCTTGCTGGCTTGTAACAGCATCTGGCCAACTGCTTCCTCACCTCTTGAGATGCTCCTTAACAGCCCAGAGGCGAAAAGAAGGCAGGCAATGCCAGAAGGGGAGAGAGATAGAAACACATCCTTCCCCCTCCACGGCCCACTGTTTTTTTTTTTCCCTAAGAGGCCCTTTGGGAAGGGGAGGCAGCAGAAGCCAGGAACAAGCACACAGAAGCTAATTCCGTGCCCTCACAGGCTGCAATCAGGGCCAGGAAGCATCGGGGTTCCTGGTGGGTTGGTTATAGAAATGAACAGACTGCTCCTGGTTTGTGATTGTTCCTTAAGGGCTCTTGACTAAAGGTCACATTGTGTGGAAACCACCGGAGCAGGGATGGTTGGATAACGAGGGAGTGTCTGCTTAGGGGCTTTTTCCCCCCCATGGTCTGAAGTGTTAAATACTCCAGCAGCAGCATTTCAGCCTCCTGCCGGTCCCGCTGGGCAGGAGCCCCCCCGTCAGCCTGTTGGATCCCCAGGCTGGCAGGAGCCATCCACTCAGCCCTGCAGGCTGCAGAGGGGAGGGATACAGTCCTTTTCCAGGTCATTCCCTCACTCGCCAAAGTGCAAAATTAGGCTCTTCCAGAGGGAGGAGCTCTGCTCCATCCGAAAGTTGGGGGGGGTCAAAAAGTTGGGTGCCCACAGAGGGGCAAAAAGCCATTGCCCTGAGACAAGGGGTGACATCCAGGGGTTATTACAGGACATTAGGGCATCAATTAGACTTGTCATGGACCTGAGGGACAGCTTGCTGAAGGGATTAGATTGTGTTCCTGCCCTTCCTGCATCTTCTGAGCTCCAGCTCCCACCCTGCTCTTGGCCCCACCTCTGGGCACCGGTGGGAGGTGAAGGTGAGGACAGTACCTGGTACTCAAAGGAGGGTGTGAGGCGGTAGTTGAGCATTTCCTGGTGGAAAACGGGGGTGATGCTGCCAGACATGGGCGGGACAATCCACACCCAGTCGGCAGGACAACCCCCACGGCACCGGTACTCGTTCTCCATGTGCTTGATGAAGGACTCCGTGGCCGAGTGGTGATCCACGATGGTCACCTTGTCACTCTGTCGGGGGAGGAGAGAGCAGAGCCCACAGCTGTTACCACACCCCAGAAGGCAAGAGCCAAGATTTTGGAGCTGTCCCAAATATTCCTCACTCCCATGGACCTTTGGAGATGACCCAGGCTGGCTGCTCTTCCCAAGGAAGCCATAAAGCTGCCCCAGTCCTTCCTGGATAGATGTGCTGTGGGATCACTGCTCCTGTGATTTGTCATGGGCCAGGCAAAGACTGAGATGGCACGAAGAGGATGGAGCATCCTCTGCTCGTCCCCTTGGAGAGCTCTTTTGTGGCTTGTGCAGCTCCATGGGGTAGCTCTGATCCAGCTCTGGGAAGGGCTCCCACCCTCTGAACTTGGATTGCCAAGCACTAGTTCAGCTACTGAACCTTTAAGTGCTGGCAGGGGGAGAACCTGGGCCAATTCTTGCCTCCTGGATGCGACAGAAGGGCTGGATCTTGCTCCCTAGGGATATTCCCTCTGGACCAGCAGAACTCAGGTGCTGGTAGTGCTGTCTTTACAACATCCAGGGCACAGAGATTATAAATTTTACTGCAGAACAGCCCCAAATTAGGGTGGCACAGCCCAATTTCAGCAGAGTGCTGCGTTCTCCTCGGATTGATGTCTCCATCCCGCTCCCCGTGTCCCTCAAGCCTGTCCCGAGCACAGTCCTGCTCCGGAGATACCTGGAAGCTGTACAGCACAGCAATGTTGATCTCCACCAGGGCCTGGTCCTTCCACAGCGAGGAGGTTTTCCTCATGTCCAGATTCATTTTCTTGGCCACTTGCTGTAACAACACGTGGCAGAAAGTGAGGGCTTCTCATGGCCAAAGGACCAAGGACTGGAGATCTCTGCCTGGGAGAGGAGCCCAGAGGAGGGACCCAGGCTGACACGAGGCACCCTCAGGGCAGGGAGGGGCTGATGTTTTGCCTTCCCTTGAGAAGCTTTGGTCCTGCCTTTTGCTCTCCATGGCAGGAGCAGGGCCTTCCTTCCCCCCTGAGCAGAGGGAGGTGACCAAATGCCGCTCAAAGGGCCATCGAGAGCAGTTGCACACACACACGCACACACACTCGCTCTCACCCCTCTGGTTTTCAGGTGTCTGGGGAGCAGTGCAGCCCCTCTAAATGACACAACATTCCCCTTGGAGTGTCCCAGTGAATCCAGATGCCCTGCACTGGCACCTCCCCATGGCTTGGCTTTATCCCTCCCAGTGTGGGCAGCCCCCAGGCCACGGCTGAACACTCCGGAGGGGCCAGCTGGAGGGTCCCCATGGGCAGGAGCATCCCCGAGGAGCCACCAAGTTGTCTCAGCACCCATGACCTCAGTCAAGCACACGACCAGCTGCCTGCTGATCCCTAAGATTCTCTGGGAAGTCTGTGGGGAGCTCAGTAGGCCTCTGTGTTAGATACACAACAGCCAGCCCGTCACACCCTCGGCTCCAGGAGAACGGGTATCCTGTACTCCCCCACTGAAGGTAACATTGTGCCAGTGTCCTGCGTGCTCCCCAGTGACTTCACACTCCCCAGGAGCACCTGGAGGAGGAATTACCTCCAGGATGTTGTAGCGGGAGTTGTCGCAGTAGTCCCGGACCCCGATCTCGGTGCCCATGTACCAACCGCTGAAGGGGCAGGCGGAGAACTCCAGGCCACCGATCTCCAGGAGCATGTTGGAAACTGCTGGCAGACCATACCACTTCAGCCCCAGGTCCTTGAACCACTCAAACCTGCCAGGACAAACGGGGTTAGGCAACCAGCCAGACCTTTCCCTGGGAAGTGGAGGAGGAGGTCACTTTGCTGCCGGGGGGGGAAGGACGTGAGCAGAACGAACCCTGGAGGCAACATCTCCCTTGGGGGCTGTTTAAGGGGGGAAAGTGAGGTATCAGGAGTGCTGTGGAGTGGTGCAAGTCCTGGGAGACTTCAGGGAAAGGAGAACTAGCCCTCAGACAAGGACACAACTTGCTTTCCATCTCCAGGCTCCACCAGCCTGAGCAAAGGGAAGACCTGGGGGAAGGTCCTGGGTAAAGCACCCAAGCCATGGCAAGGAAAGGCCAAGCACAGGGGGTGGCTCGGGGTGGAACCAGAGGATCTCAGTCCTGCTGATCCCCTCGAGCAGCTCTGGGGCTTCCTCTGACTTACTTGGGGTGCCGGATGGGCACTTCCAGCACGAGCTCCGGGGGGATTTCGAAGAGCTCTGGATCGTTGCCGTTGGCTTGGAGGAGCAGAGGCAGGATATCAAAGCGTCCGTACGGCGCCTTCCAGCCTTGCTGGATGCAGATCTACAGGAAAAACAGAAGTGGGGTCAGATGTCCCAGCAAGTCTCTGCTCTTCAAGCGCCATGGGCAGGGAGTCACATGGCTCCAAATGGGATTTCCAAGGATTTTCCAAGGATTTTCCAAGCTATGCTCAGCTCTGTTATGGTTGAGTAATAACTTCCAACCAAGGGAGCTACAACAGGGGTTGCCTGTCACAGCCCACCCATGGCCAAGTAAGGGGAATTTGGGCTGAAAATGAGCCCAGAACTGGATCCCAGGTAGGAACGTGGCTCTGGAAAATCCACTCATGCCATTTGTGCCTGTGACGGGGAAGAGGAAAATGGGTGAGAAGAGCAGAAAAGCGAAAAAAAAAATACTCTTTATTCCTGAGAAGATACCTGAGGGCGAGCCAAGCCCAGCCTCCCTTCGTGGTGCTGCAGTGGATGAGCTAAACCTGCTTGACCCACCCCCTCCTCACTGCTGGAAGTCTCAGGTTTCTGGGTGTCCCCACCAGCCCCACGCCCGCGGTGCCCGGGAGGTTCCCTCTGGTACCTCTGTGAGCTCCACGTTGGCAGGGTCTCCCAGGATGGTGCCGTCGGGCTGCTTGTAGCCGGCGTAGCGGATGAGCTGGGCATTCCAGATGCGGAAGTCGTGCTTGCTGTCCGTCCGCTGCGGGAAGATGGTGATGGCAGACCTGGCAGGAGAAGGGGCGGCGCCGGTGAGCGCCGGGGCCACCGGGAGGGGGGAAGTGTTGTGGGGAAAGGTGCTGTCCCTGCCTGTCCCACCACCCCGGGTGAGCCCCAAACGGTTTTACGCTGGGAGGAGTCACGGCAAGGCTCTGGAATTCGGGGTGCTTCCAGCTCCAGGCAGAAGCTGGTTGAAAACACGGGGGTTTCTGACAAATCTGGAGAGCGGCCCGTGCTCTGTGTTTGACGCAGAATATAGGAAAGGAGAAATAATTGGAAAATCTGCCCTCTGAGGTCCCACAGAGAGCAAGAGATTGATTTGGACCAGCAGGACACCTTCTCCTCAGAGCGGGTCCCTCTAACACAGGTGAGGGCTGCAACCCTCCTGCTGCTGAAGGAGACAACGTCAGCAGGGCCCAGAGCTGGGTTTGCACACATCTCAGAGGCCTCTGGACACAAACTCCCTGGTGGCTCACCTGAGGTTCCCTTTGTTGGTGGCATATTTGATGTGGTTGCAGATGTAGTTGAACATCCCGTGGGCTGTGGTGCAGTCCCGGGCATCAAACACCTGGAACAGGGGAAGGGATTGTGGTGATACTCCAAGGGCAGAGCCAGGCAGATGGAAACACAGCACACGGAGAACTCTAGACACCACTGCGGCTTCTTAGGGATTTAAAGATCCATAATTATGTGTTCTCTGCCTTTAGAGCACGTGGATGTGTAATCCAGCTGCCCCTTTTGCTTTGGAGAGGTGAGTCATCTGCTGCTCAGGCAAAAACCTCCTCATTCCAGTGCTCCCAACCTGCTGCTGTCCCTGGTTTATCCAGCAACGATTTTGGGCTCTGCTCTGTTCCTCCTGTAGATCAACACTCAAAGGTGAAATAGGATAGGGGTCGGCCAGGTCTGAGGGACAGGGTGTCATAAAATCATAGAATGGTTTTGGGTTGGAAGAGGCTTTTAAAGAGCATCTCATTCCACCCCCTGCCACGGGCAGGGACACCTTCCAGCAGAGCAGGTTGCTCAGTGCCCCATCCAACCTGGCCTTGGACACTTCCAGGGATCCAGGGGCATCTACAAGAGGATGGGGAAACCAGGAAAGAGGATCAGCAGGAAGCTTGAAGTTCTTGCAGGAATGCCCCCCCCCTCCAAGGCTCAGATGTGCCCAAAGAAACTGTGGATGAGCTGAAGGCTGAGCTGGGAGCGAAGGAGGCCCAGCCCCCCGGGCAGGCTGTGCCCACACTCTGTGGGAAGCTCCACCAGAGCTCCTCAGCAGCACTGGAGCTGGGCTCCAAGACACAGCAGGAGTTGTCATCTCTGTGCCAAGGGATTCCACTCGAGATCACTAATCCCCAATCTGCTCTATGCTCCCACCAGGCAGAAGGGCACTGAGCCAAAGCCTCTCCCGCCGTAGCATCTCTGTACCAAGGGTGAGTGTGTCCTGCTGCCTCTCTGCAGGCACAGCAACAGTTCTGGAAGCAGCAGGGGAGATACCAGAGCACTGTCTGATTTTGGAAGAAGTTCCCAGAGCGCCAGCCCCATTTCAGACACCTCAGCTACACCAACCCCGCCGATGCTTTTCCATCTCCTGCCGAGTTCCCAGGCTGTGCACCCCCAAAGCTGCTGCTGTGTGATGAACACCCGCTGCTGTACCTGTGCTGTGCTTCCCCAGGTGTTTGAAGAGCAAGATTTGCCTCTCCACAGCTCCAGTGCCCCCTCTTTACCTGCAGCTTGGACCACTGGATCCTGCCCACGCAGCGGGCTGCGTTCCTCCAGGCGTGCTTGGCTCCGTAGATGAGCTCGGTGTCCCGCAGCTGGTAGGTGTCAGTGGCTTCAATCTCCTTGGTCACCTCCTCCAGCCTTTCCATGTGGGCCTTGGAGCCAGATCTGGGTGGGTGGGGGGCAGAGGAGGTGGCAGTTTGGGTGCTCTCCACCCGGGCGTGAGTTCTTCCCTCCTTAAGCACGTGTGTGCTCACACACACACACACACACACACACACGTGTGTGCTTTCAGGTAAGAGATGACCAAGGACAAGTGGGAGAGGTCAGTGGTTGGCACAGACACACAACAAAACCAAACACTACGAATGAAACTCCACTGAAGAAGCAGCTGCTCGTGGGGCACCGGAGTCTCACCCTGCTTTGACTCCCAAGTGTGAAAGACTGGACCATGGAATCATGGAATGGTTTGGGTTGGAAGGGACCTTAAAGATCATCTCATTCCAACCCCCTGCCATGGGCAGGGACACCTCCCACTAGCCCAGGTTGCTCCAAGCCCCGTCCAACCTGGCCTTGGACACTTCCAGGGATCCAGGGGCAGCCACAGCTTCTCTGGGCAACCTGGGCCAGGGCCTCCCCACCCTCACAGGGGTGAATTTTTTTCCTAATATCTAATCTAAGCCTACTCTCTGTCAGTGTGAAGTCATTTCACCTTGTCCTGTCTCTCCAGGCCCCCTGCAAATAATCTCTCTCCATCTTTCTCCCTTCAGGTACCGGAAGGTCACCCTGAAGCTTTCTCTTCTGCAGGCTCAACAATCCCCATTCTCTCAGCCTTTCCTCATAGGAGAGCTGCTCCAGCCCTCTAATCATGTTGGTACCTCCTCTGGACTCTCTCCAACAGCTCCCCATCCTCCCTGTGCTGGGGATGTAGAGCTTGAGGTGTCCCGTGTGACACCTCGGCAGAAGCAGCAGCCTCGGGCTGTGACCTTCTCCAGCCAGTCCTTACCTCTTTATGGAGGAGTAGTACTGGTCAATGAAGTCCTTGGCCAACAGGAGCACCTCCTCCTTTGTCCTGGTGTCCTCTGACTTGCGGATGTGAGGGCTGGGGGTCATCACTGAGCCCATGCAGATCTGCTCGGTGCAGGCGGTGGCCTGGCGGGACAGGAGGGGACGAGTGAGTCTGGGGTCACTGCAGCACTCCTGGTTACCTGAGCTGGGCTGGGGGAAGCCAGTGATTCCTACACAGAGGTTGGTGGTATCTTTGGCCAACAGGGACATTTCCAGCCTGTTTGTCTCCACCCCTGTTGTTAAGGCTGGGTGAGACAGCTCAGCCACGTGCAGTCAGCTCTGCTCCCATCCAACAAGGATGATCAGGGCTCCTGGGATTCTTACCCTGGCTTGGCATGAAGTCAATCGCTCCTCCTTATTTATCCCAGGTGGAATTCCCTCTCCCCCAGCTTATTGCACCAGAGCTTTGAAATTCCAACCCTCCTGGAGACCGGACTGACCTGAACTCATCCCCTCCTGCATTTGCAGTTAAAACCACCTCGGGAACGCCGTGATCCCCTCAGCTGTGCTCAGACAGCTTCTGGCCAGTCCCACCAGCTCTACTCACCATGGCAGTCTTGAGGTGCAGGGTGTCGTGGAGCACAGAGCCCGTCTCCCAGTTCTTGATCTTCACGAACCGCGGGCATTTGGAAGGGCTCCCGTTGGCCGTGTTCTTGGTTGGGGACTGACGCCCGGATGGAGGTGGCTGGACGACAGGGAAACACCAGGAACAAGGTCAGGCACAGGGAAAGGTCACAACAACAGGCAGCATCTTGTGTTAGAGGATGCCTGTGCTTAAATTCCAGTGGTAACATAGCGAGACGAGGTGTGTTGTCCAAATATTTGGCATTTTTTGGGGGGATCCTACAACGGGGCAGCCAACTCTTAATGCAACTGAGAAGTCATGTCAGGTTATGGGACAGCCAAACCTGTAGAAGAGGAGGTAAAAACAGGGGTAGAACTGACTTAGAAGAATGCCTTGTGGAAGATCTCTGCACTGGATTGGGTGTTCCTTTCCAAGGAGCATCACCTGCCCGAGTTCTGCCTCACTGGTCGGAGCACTGTGAGACAGAGCTAACAGCTGGTCATTCCTCTGAGCAAGCCAAAGGCACTTCTCCTTTGATAGCCACGCTGGAAGATCCCAGGAATAAGGATGGATAAATTACCATGCTGAGTCACGCATGGTTGGATACCTCAGCTCAGCTCCCAGCCTCCAGCCCTCCCTGGTGCTCTGCTGGGTGTGCTCATCCAGCACTTCAAGAGTTCTGTGCCAACAGGAGGAGAGTCTCAGCCAGCACAGAGGTTGTGAGGAGAAGAACTGGTTACAAGTGCTTCTTTTTGAGTGTTTTCACTGATAAAATCTGAATTTTCTTCCGTGGCCCTTATTCACCCCAAGCACTTAGAAGCTTAAAGAGCACTCGGTGTCTGCCAGCGTGCCGTGGGACAGGGAGCTCTGGAAATGTTTCTCCTTGGAATCAAATCTTGCAGTAGGAGGTAATTCCATCACTGTGACCACAAGGCTGTTGCTGCAGGTCTCAGGGGGAGATCTGTTCCACCCCAGAGCGTCCCTGGCAAACCCTGTTTGTATTTGGCACCACTTCAGGATTAAATCTCTGCAAATTATCCCTGAGCCTGGACCGAGTTTGCTGTACCCTTCCTACATGAAGCCCGTGGCTGGTGTCCCTTTCTGATCCATCTGTGAGGGTTTTCTGGAGATGGCCCTGCCCTCAGCAGAGCTGTGCAGAGTCTCACCATCCTTTTTGGGGGTTCTGGGCCCGTGTCACAGTTGCACTGGCAGCAACAGCACAAATTCAGCATTACACACTGGAAGAGCAACCAAGGAAGAGCCAACACAGGGTGGAAGAAGCTCTTGGAGGGAAAGCACCAGGAGCCACGAGGATGACAAAGCAGGTGAGGCTCCAGATCTGACTGGTTCCTGCTTTGCCAGAGGATTGCTCTGCTTTCCCAAAGCAGGGAGAGATCCATGCCTGACTGATCCCTGAGGGCTGTGCTGAGCAGACACCTCTGCACTGCCCTGGTGGCACTGCTGGCCAGAGTTTTTGCCCAGTCCTTGTTTTTACCATATGCTCCAGACTCCTTTTTTTTTTCCCTGGAAAACAGGGATTTTACAGTCAAGCAGCCTGAGGCTCACAGTGTGATACCGTGCACTGAAAGCACATGCTGGGAACAAGGGACAGAGGCTGGAGGGGCAGGGAGAGATTTACAACCTGACCCCTTTGGGCTGTGCTGCCATGGATCTCTGTGACATTCCTCATGTCACAAATCCTGTGGTCTTCCCAAGGAGAGTTTCAAAGCCCCTGAAGCCGAGTGACCAAACCCTGGATCTCAGCCTCCCCTTCCCATCCTGCAAAACCCAAACGTGAGAACCACGCAGAGCTCGAAAACAGCAGTAAATGAAAAGAACCACCAAAATGTAGCCCTGGAAAAGCACAATTTTTAAGTTAATTTTTTTCAGCTTTAGGGAATTCCCCCTGAATTTTGGCAGTGGCAGTTCCTGGTTGTTTTTCCCCCCTGCTTGTTTTACTCTTCCAAGGGAATGAAATCATTCTTTAGCCACTACCAGCATCCTGTGCTCTCTGAACCACCCCGAGCGCCGAGGGGAACAATCTGCCACCTTCCTTCCGAGCCTGATTGCTCAGAGCAGCTCTGTGAGACTGGTCAAACGAAGCTGAAAGGTGCTGCTCAGAAATGCAGCTGAAACCAATCCTCACCTGCTCCTCCACCCGCCAGACAGAAATCGGGAGCCCCGGGCGGGAAGTGTTGATTGTTTAAATCCCAGCTAGGTTTGATTTCCTGACAAGGCGTGCTGCTAAACAACATCTTGGCAGAGCAGGGGTGGCCCAAGAATCCAGGGGGATTTGTGCCATGAATCCAGGTGTAGCCATGAGCCTTGGAGCGAGCGAGCTCCAAGCTGAAGGACACTGGCTGCTTAACATCTGCCTACAGATGTTCTACCCTGGGCTCCCTCAAAGCTGCTCCCTTTCCTGTTTGTCTTTTTTCCTGCAGGATCTGGGAAAGCTCGAATCTTGGAATCACAGAAACATTAAGGTTGGAAAAGACCTCCAAGATCGTCGAGTCCAACCTGTGACCCGTCACCACCTTGTCAACCAGACCAGAGCACTGAGTGCCACGTCCCGTTGTTCCTTGGGCACCCCCAGAGGGATGGGGACTCCAGCAGCCTCTTCCAGTGCCTGACAACCCTTTCAGCCTGTGCTGAGAGAGGGCCCCGGAGAGGAGGGATGCCAAAATCCTGGGATGCCAGCCAGGCTGGAGCATCCAAGGCAACACCACCTCCAAGAAGCAGAGGTGTCAGGTCTGCCAAGCACACCACAGAGCAGCTGTGGAGGGAAGGAGCTCTGTGTGTGTGTGTGTGTGTGTGTGTGTGTGTGTGTTCCTTCCCCGCACCGCAAAGCTGAAGCCAAATATTACCCCTCGTTCTGTCTGTCAGGGAGGCTGTGTGAGATCCTTTCATGTTCTAATTAGGCAGCTGTGATATTAGTGACTCAAGGGTGGCACAAACTGGAGAGCCGAACGCGGCAGTCGGGGCGCACACGCGTTATGCAAACGCCTTTTGGCAGGGAGTGTGGTGGCACTTGTCGGCAGCACGCAGCCCCTGAGCTGTCTGGAGACAGCAGGAATGCAGGCCTGGGTGCTCCTCGGGGCCAGAGTGACGGGGAGCATCTCCCCTTTTGGGATCTGAGTGGGACCTACGGGTCCTCACCCTTCCTGCGCCCTGCGCTGGTTCCCTGCTGGAGCCCCCGGGCTGGGGGGCAGCGGGTGAAGCGTCACCAGCTGGGCAAGGGAGGGGATTGTCCCGCTCTGCTCTGCACTGGGGAGGCCTCACCTGGAATGTTGTGGCAGTTTTGGGCACTGCAGTGTGAGAAAGATGTTAAGCCAGAGGCCAAAGGAGGGTAATGAAGAGGGGATTTGAATGAAGATTGATTGGAAGGCGTGTGAGGACACTGAGGGCACTTGGTGTGTTCAGTTGGAGCAGAGGAGACTGAGGGGAGACCTCAGTGCAGTTCCAAGTGCCTGGGCAGGGGCAGAGGAGGGGCAGGGACTGAGCTCTGCTCTGGGGGGACCAGGGACAGCAGCCAGGGAATGGCTGGAGCTGTGTCAGGGCAGGCCCAGGTTGGATCTTAGGCCAAGGTCCTTCCCCAAGAGGCTGGTTGG